TCTATAGAACCCCAAGAAAGGGATCTACTGCATCAAGGTTGGAATCGGGCTTGAAGTTGACGCATCTACACTGCTAACGTTCCGGAACATTTGGCCTTATCATGCAATTCAAATATGCAGTTTATTATTGGAAGTTTCGAAGATGTGGTGCACGAAAGTTTTAGCTGGAAACACCACTTTCTTAGTTATATTAGGACTTTATTTTATTTTTAATTAATCAGATTTGGATACATGTTATTTTAGGATAAAACTTAGAATATTTTTAGGAGATTGAGTAGAATTCAAATATTTGAATTGGACATTTTAAGAGGGGGGAGAGATCAGACTTGACTACACTACACACGCCTCTCCTTCCCCTTTTCTCCAACTTCTCCTTTGAGTTTTCATGATGGCCATAAGGGGCTAAATTTTCATAACTTGGTCGAAGGAAACAGAGGCCGCGGAATCAATAAAACTATGAGATTTAATTTGTTTTTAATGTTCAATTTATGCTTTGAGTATCGAATGTTCCTCTATGCCCATTGTCATGGTTGTCTCATTTAATTACTAGGAGACCTACTAGTTTATTATTCATTGCAATCTATCGGTAAATTAGATATCAAATCTGTAATTGTTTGATCCCTCTAATTTCTGAAGTAACTAAGATTTAAGAATTTGCTACGTCAGGAATTATTAAATCTTAAGAAGAATGCTCGACTAAATTAAATACAACCGCTTGTGTTTGTGTTGTTCAGCTTTATTGATCTCTCTAGTTCTTAAGGCTGCCACTAGATTAAATCTTTAGTGCTTGTCTTGGGTTGTTTAGTAGTAAGATTAATTAGATCGCTTGTTTTCTAATTAATTGCGACTAAGGAGAGATAGGAAAATAGTTCAAACGGTGAATATTCAGAGTATGAATTGATATATACTTGCATCGATGATCAGTTGTAAAATCCCGATGGTGGATGTTGATTTAGACCAAGGTTTGTTCTTTTGATTCATTTAGATAATTTAATTTGAATTGTTTCTTAGTTGTTTTTCTTGAAATTGTTTTCATTATACTCAAATCCCCCCATCCCAAACCCCCCCCCCCCCCCAAGAAAAAAAAAAAAAAAAATCCTTGCTCACGTAGCATAAAACTAGACTAGACACTTTCTGTGGGAACGATCCTTACTCGCACTACTATATGTATTCTTTTTTTTTTTTGGAGTATAGATTTTATATTTGATTGCCTGCGACAGCACACTAATACCCGATACTTTCCATGATGGCCAGTGATGTGAAAAGTATACCAATAACAACTGTTGCTTCAGAGTCTAGTTTCAGTGTTGGTAGCAAAGTGCTCAGTAAATATCGAAGTTCACTTTTACTAGAGAATACAGAGTCTTTGATATGCACTAGGACATGGATTTCTGGATATGAAGTTAAAGGTAACATTTTTAACTTATATTTCACATGTTTTAATATTTTAGTTTGTTAATATATTACGATAGATAACTTATATTTTGTTAATTGTAGAAGATGAAATTGATGATGCTCAACTTGTTGTGCCATTAAGCCAAGTGCTAGCAGAGAAGGAGATTATAGAATCAAGGGCAACTTCTAACGCCGTCAATGTGTAATAGACTTTGTTTGTTTAGTGTGTTTGGTTTAACAATTCTATATGTTTAATTGTTTAGTGTTTACTATGTATGTGTGTTCAATGTTAAACAATTTTATATGTTTAGTGTTTACCCATTAGTAATTACTATATATGTTTAGTGTTTAGTGTTTACTAATTCTATGTGGTGAAGTTTGATATAAATATGAAAAATATTAATAATGAATTAATGATGTTTGGTGAAATCTAATCAAATTTAATTTAATCATCAATTTATTTAATATAATTAATCAAATTATTCAAGCTTAATAAAGGAATTTTATACCAAGTTTTTAAGTCAATACAATTTACATCTTTAAGTATGCAATTTGAATAACAAAAAACAATGAAAAATAACAAAAACCTGAAATTTTTTTTTACAGAAAATGCCATTATATGCCGGTGACCTGAGGGTTGACTCGTGGACCCGTGCCTGTTTCACCCGTGACTCGTGGCTACTCGTGCCCATAGCCACCCGTTTTCCATGTCTTTGTACCTTATTGGGCCGGTAGGGCTACCGGGGCAGTACAAGCCCAAATTTGGTAATCTATTTTATGTAATTTTCTAATTAATATAGATGTTGAAATAAGAGAATTGAACACAAAATAGGTATCCAATTAACCACCCTTGGTGACCAGATAAGGCAGTAGGTAGAGCTGGGCATTTGGGACCGGGCCCAAAAGCCCAGCTCTAAAACCCGGTCCTAGGACCGGTCCTTGAGAGGATCGGACCTAAGAGGCCTGGTCCCAAAATGGGACCAGGCCTAAGGAGGAGGGCCCGGGCCCTCCACTAGGCCCTCCTCCCGGTCCCCGGCCCAAGCCCAAAAAAATTTGTATTTTTTCAATATAGTCCCTGCCAAATTACATAAAACCCCTTGTTAATTTCAAAATAAATATAAATTACGAGGGCTAAAATGAAATTTTACAAAATTTATATAAAAAAAAAAATCTTCCAGGTCTAAAAAATTTATAAAATTTATAAATTTTACCCCTAAAAAATACTAAAAATCCCCTATAAAACTTCGTTTTGCCCTCAAAATATAAAAAAATTGAGGGGGGAAAATAAAATTATCCAAGGCCCATGGGACCAGTCCCGACTAGGCCTAGGGCCTGGTCCGGGTCCTGGTTTTTCTCATAGGCCTGGGACCGGTCTCAGGCCTATGAGTGACTGGTCCCATTTGGGACCAGTCCCAAACGGGCCCAGGCCTGGGCCCGCAAGGGACCGGTCCCTTGCCCACCTTTAGCAGTATGGACTTTTGAATGTATTACTTAAAATGTCTTAAGTTTAATTCCTCTTAGTTGTTAATATGAGAAGCTATTAGAGGGTATATCTAGTCATTAATTTTAAGGCACTAGAGGATTAATCGAGGTATACGTAAACTGACCCAAACATCCTTAGTCACAAAAAAATACCTAATTTCTTATTAAGAAACCAAATTTGGCGCCGAGGAATTAGTCAATATGCGAGCAAGTTGGCCCAAACATCCCTTGTCACTAGAGAAAAAAAAAAAGTACCCAATTTCTTATAAAGAAACCAAATTTGGGTCTTAATTCAAGAGATTAATCAAGGTACACATAAATTGACTTAAACACTCTCAGTAAGTAAAAAAAAAAAAAAAAAAAAGTGCCCAATTTCTTATTAAGAAACCCAATTTTGAAGAGAAATATAATTCAAAATATAAGTAAGTTACTCAATGTAATAGACTGAACAAATTCAAGACATTCATGGCCTAACAATGTATTATAATAATACAATGGATGGTCGTTCTATGCACGTCTTGCTATGAGTGGCCAACTCACAACTAGTCTTATACAGGCTAATTTATGCATATATTTATCAAGAATTTCTTTGAATAAACAAAAATAAAATTGAGTAATATCTTCTAATTAAGGGTTTTTATAATATATATAGTTTGATTACGGTACTAAATAACTATTATATATCTCTTAAAATTATTAAAAAAATAGTATAAATATATCAAAACCCTCATAATAGAGAGCATATAATTCTTACTGATAATGATAAAGGCCTTTCAAATTCAACCATGAAATGTATGCTAATAATGCTTTAATTAAAATATAAGCAAATTCAACCGACTTTGAGATCTAGTTTCTAGATACATATAAATATCAATTATAAAATACAATAATGCATTTTTCATGTTTATATCAAGATAAAAAATTTTAATATGTAATTTTAATTTACTTTCTTAGTAAAAGTTTCACATTATAAATTTTCATTATTATTCAATTATGTTAATATAGGTATCTCAAAGGACAATCGAATCTACGACTTTATCATAGGTTAAACGAGCTCTCTCTCACTACACCGAATCTTTGAGGTAATATATTTGATATTAACCACCCCTAATTGATTGAGTGAGACAATAAAGACTCTTAAATATATTACTTAAGAAGTTTTGAGTTCGATTTTCCTCGATTGTTAATGACGGTGACCACTGAAAGTATATCTGGTTGTTAACTTTAGGATCTTAAAAGATTAGTTAGGTGTATATATGCAAACTGACTCGAATGTCACTGGAAACGAAAAAAAATAATTTGATATTCATATATATTATCAAATATAATATAATTTTTGTCAATTATTATTGTCTTGTAAAAGTATAAAGAATCTAAATTTACAAGGCAACATGTTTGATGTTGTCGGATTAGCAGAAGCTAACGTCAAAAGAAACTTCAAAATCACAAGGGCTGGCGGGAGATAAACCCTAAGCAATATCCAGCTTCAGCGAAGCCTTCATTTCATTAAATATTCTTTACTCTTTTGCCTCGATGTCTACGCTTCTTACTCCCCAATATATACTCTCTCCTACTCTTTTATCTGCTCTTCTTTTTCCTGTTTTTCTTCTCCAACTTTTCATTCTTCTTCTTCTTCCATGGTGTCCTACTTGTCTCTCTGCAGGCTCCCCCACTTTAACTACTCGTAAGCTTTTCTCTTTTTTCCCCATAGATATTTATGCAACACTTTTTAACGTGATTTTGCTTATGTGGGTTGTGAAGATCTTGGTTTGTTCGTGAGCTTAAGTTGAGTTGACTTTGTAGGAATCTCAATTTTGAATGGAAATGTTTATGTTATTGATTGTATTTGTGTATACAAGTTTTGAACTCCGTTGGATGAATTTATTTCTAGATCTTTATTAGTCAAGAACATGGTGTTATTGTAAATTTTTCATTTTCATTTATGGATATGTGAATTTTTAGTGGAAAATCTAATCTGGGTTTTCTTTGAGTTGAGCACAGTTACGAGTTAAGACGTAAAGTTTATTATTTGAAAAGTTTGCTCCTTTTCTGCTTCTTCCTTGGTAATTATTTGTAGGAGTTTTTGTCATTGAATTAGTTGCATTCTGTTGTTGCAGACATTGTTTTGGGCCCAACACCAGGCGAATGATAAACACAAATTCATTCCACTTATCAAAGAGTAACCTTTCTCATGAATTTTTAATTAAGTACTATAGTTCTGCAAGTCGTGTATCGATGAGGGCACTATCGTCTACCTCTGCTTCGGAGCAAACCAGTAGTGAGAATGTGGCTCCTATGGCTAAAGCTGAAGATGATGAAATGGAATTTAGTCGGGTGAATTGCCTTGTTTGGGTATTGCATGAATCTGCCAGGAGCTTTTCGCGTTCTGTTGAATCGCTTGGATTGGCTGGAAGTGGTGCAGAGCTTTCAATGGCTTGGAATGGGAAGGATGTGAACGAGTGGCATAAACGTATTGCTTATAGAGTATGCACATACCACATTGCTACATTGACACTTTCTTTTACTTGCCAGAAATATGGTCCAAAGAATGATTTATGCTTATGTAGCATATTTTTTATATTCTTCCTTGGAATGATCCATAGTCATTTTAATAATTGATAAATACAATGACATGTTTCTGCTCATACTTCTTGTTATTTTCCTTGGACAACTATTACAGTGATATCTAAGTTGAGTGGGGATGGAACATTCTTTATGAATTATTAGAAGACATGAGAAAATGAACAAGAATCATTGACTCGTATGGCTCTTCAGGTAGTAGTTTATGCTTTGTTAAAAGTGGCAATTGAAGTGGAGATTTTGCTCTCTCATGATCGTCACAACAATGCAGCTCCTGTTAATGACATGTAAGTGCTTAACCACTGGAGACAGATTAAACTTTTGAAACACCTTTGCATGATTTTAAGAGTCGATGTTTACTTGTGCTATGAAATATTAATTCCACTTCCGGTTCTGTAGATTTAAATTAAAATCATGAGTGTAAACCGAGTCAATTGTTCTATATATTGAGTTTCATTATGCATTTATCATTAAAATCTCCATTAGCAATGACGACTCTTTTTCCTCTATGCTTTTCAGCTTGGCCCCGAAGATAAATGCTATGAGAGAGTACATCGAAAGTCAATTAAGCATAAGGCATTCAGAATTGGTACAATGGTTTAGGATAGTGGAATTACCTCGTATTGAAGGATTTTTCAGTTCTTTATTAAAGAAGTGGTCAATGGAATATGCTGGAAGGTTTGCTCAAAATTTTTTGCTTTTAACATATGATTTATTGTTCCCCAATTGATAAAATCCTTTCCTATCAACAACCTATCTTTTCATTGATATTCCAATAATTTTTGCAGTGCATGTGAGCTCATTTTTATTCTAGTGTATATCTTTTATTATATGATGGTAGGAATTTAATCTGAAAACGAAAATTTTCAGTGGTGTTGCAGGGATCATTGTGGCGATAAGCTGCTGTGCTGCAGTAGGCAAACTGGGTCCTGAGCGCATTGTCTGTCCCACATTTAAAATGTCGATTGAGGATGTATCAGTAGAGCTAATGAATATTTCAGGGAGTTTTGTACCGGTGGACAAGCTGCATCAATTAGCAACTGAGGCAGGATTTGAACCTGACTTCCTATCCCACTTTGGTAAAAAGGTTCTTCTGGACAAAAACACCGAGGAACTTGAATTTTGGATTGGATTAGCTCAGAAGAAGCTGTCAATTGCCTTCTACAGAGAAGGATTACTTTGTGGGACCAAAAATTTACATGAAAAGGTTGGTTCTATATTCTTTACCCGCCCAATTCCTGATTATTCTTTATAATTAAGTATAACTTAAGAATTATTTCTTATATTCCTAATCATAAGGACCTTGCTTAATGGTCACGGTCAATTTGGTCTCTATTTTTTGTTCATTTAAAATTTCTTGCTCTCATATTTACATATCTTTACCAAAATTTGTGCAGTTGACTTTAGCCAAAAATTTTGACAGGTTCAAGCAGATAGTTTGGCTAATTTAGGACTTTTTGCATATCTGGGAAGGATGACTAGATTATTCTTGTCAAGTAAAGGAATAAAAGATGTTGATGAGATGGTTAAGGACTTCCTCAGGTAAAATTTCCTCATACTTTGGTTAGATTCTAAATGTTTCAGCATATCAAGATAAATAAGAGTTCAAATAATACTTTGCCTGCAGCTATTTGGAGTGTGGCATTCTTTTCATTTACCCTGAGTTTTCTTCCATATCAGTGTATCAACACTTCATGGAGGTAAGTTCCTATCAATTTTGTTGAACTTGCAAAATATGAATTATCTTAAACTGCAAAATTCATCTTTACAGATAGTAACTGATGAAATCGGCTGGCTTGACTTTTATGCTGCATTTCCTTCCATGTGCAATCAAGAGAGAAGGTCCAAACATCATGCTATTCAAGCAGAGAAAGAAATTATTCTATCCAATGTTTTTGCTGTTTGCTATGACGTGTTCTCTGGGTTTGCTCACTTCAGTCGTTCTACTCAACAAACCCTAGATGCAGAATTGCTAGCTTTCTTACTCCGAAGGTAGCTGGAAATATCTTCACTTTCATTATATCTGTCTTTATTTTTTATGTGTGAAAGTGTTAAATTGACTTCTAAGATCTGGTGCTGTCAATTTTTCAGCCAAAGCCTGCTTACTATTTGTCTAGATGACTACTGGGCTGCATATGATAGATCAAGGTACATTGGGGGTCTTTAGCGATGCTTTATGTAATAATTTGTCCTGAATGAAACAATGAGAGAAATGGATTATAATTGCACTTGTGTTGTTGTTCTCCAGTACTGGGCTGCTAAAGATTGCAGAAACAGGTGCCTCTGACCACATACCTACTGTGGGAACTAAAGGCACAACCAGGCTCTCTGCACCACAGGAGGGAAAACAAAGACGCTATGAGTTGTTGACACACAGAAATATGGAGAATAAATCTCAACATCCATCAAATGTGAGAAAGGTATGACTACTGGATAATATCTTTTTATTTGGGTTAGTATATGTTAAGTTTCACCCAACCAAGCTCCTGACCATGAGGAGGTGTGTTCAAAAGGGCTAATAGATATTTATTTTTGAAATAAAAGCAACAGTAATCGAAAATTAGAACAGTGCCTTGAGGTATTTAGCGGAGTCTTTTGTTTTCTCATACTGAATCTGCAATTCCAGGCCATGAGCTCAGCTGAGGCAGGTGCAATAGATTTTATGGAGGATACCAGCAGTGGCAAAACCAATTCCATGCAGGAGAGCTTAGTACGGAAATACAGCATCAAGTTGATGTCTACTAGCTCAGTAAGGATGTTGATCCCCTGCTTTTAGTCAACAGGCAGAGTTGTTATAAAATCTTACATTCAATTGATAGCATACCACTGAATTGTTATATAGGATGTATGGATGGGTACTCAATTGCTCTTTATAGACATATCTATGTCTCTAGAGTTACTCCTAAAGCAGTTGCATGGCTACAAGGTTACAATGAGAGAGCGAAAGAAGTTGAAAAGAACCCTAAATGACATTGCTACACTCATCCCAATTACGATTCTAATGCTGCTTCCTGTAAGCTCTTATTTTATCCTCAACACATTTTATGCGCTTCATGTACATAAAATGAGCTTACATAAGAAGAAAAGTTTGTAAAAGTAGCATTAAAATTTTCTAGAGAGCTGATTGCATCGTCTTGTCCTTCCTGGATCTAGGTATCAGCTGTAGGCCATGCCGCAATGCTAGCAGCTATCAAGAAGTATATGCCATCTATGGTAAATCTTGTTTTCTCTTCCAAATACGGAGTTCTTTTTCTCTTTTCTCTTTTCTCCTTTCTCCTTTCTCTTTCTTGCTAATCTTGTTTTGTTACTGTTACTAGATCCCTTCTCCGTATTCTTCTGAGCGACTGGATGTTGTGAAACAATTAGAGAGAACCAAGAAGATGGAAGTTCAGTCATGGGGCAACCTTGAAGATCCTTCGACAATGTCATAAGTGATTGTTCATACTAACCCTATTGTCTAATAAATTTTGTGCAATAGCAGCTTATTCTTTGCTATATATGTGCAGAATCATGAAAAATTCTTTACTTCACCTTCAAAATTTGTGAATATTTGGATGCATGCGTATACGCCAAGATTCATAATGTAACTCTTTGTATGTATAGTTCGTCAAAGTGATTCTTGTTCATCTACACTTGATTCAAATGCATTTGGGGATGCTCTTATGATAAGCGGTTGTAAAATCAATGTATTGAGTCTCTAGATTAGAGGTGGCAATGCTGGCCCATAATTTTTTTGGCACGGCCCACCATGGCACGACACGAAAATTTTGTGCCGTGTCATGGCTTGTAGGCCTTGTTGGCCGTGCCGTGGGCTGGGGATTTGGCAAGTGAACTTCTACGACACGGCCGTGGGCTGGGGATTTGGCAAGTGAACTTCTACGACACGGCTCACAGATTTAAAAAAAAAAAAAAATCAAATGTAGCCATTGCAATTGTGGGTCAGCCCACGGAGGTGAGTCATGGCACGGCACGACCTATGACATGGGGGACCGTGAGAATTTTGGCATGGCACGACACCATCCACCTCCACCTCTACTCTAGTTTCAACCATATATGCACAAATAAAATCCTTGGACAAAAATATAGACTGCTATTCAAGAAATTGATCCTTGATATTGAGGAAAAAATGAGGGTCAATATCAAGTTCAAATCCAAAGTCTAAGGTGTGGTTATTGAAATAGAATAAAAATAGATATTTGTTATAGACATTAAAAAATAAAAAACCCTTATTAGTTTCCCTTTAATATAACCTCAGAAATTGAATGATCCTTCAACGAATCTATGATGATAACCTAATTTGAGGGTAATAATGACAGGTTCCAAAGCTTAGGGACGTACAAGTATTTACCAAACTGGGGGTGTGTAAATATTCGGCCGCGAAAATTTTTCCATGTAAATCTCCCAAGTATTCTTGTCAGGCTTGACCTCATCCTTACCCAGGTCCACAAGATTTCCCGTATTATTCCCAAGTATTCTCGTTACTACGTGGATGATTATCACAGTTCTCCTAGTGAAAGCTCTACTGGTAAGTTTGTGGTCTAGCTTCTCGATATTGCTTCATATTTATGTTCTTCATATAAGTTTCTTTCATGAAACCTTGAAGATCTGCGTTTTTTTTTTTTTTTTTGGGTTAAATATTCTATTAAATCTGTTGTGTTTTTCTTTTTGTTCGAAATGTACTATTATTGTACCATTTGTGTGGGGTTTTGATTCTTATTATGCTACATTGTCTTTGTAGGGTTTATTGTGTTAGGATGTGTTTGATTCATACTGTATTTAGTTAGTTTTACTATTCTATGAACTAGCATTGGCATTGTAAACTGCATTATGGGGCTTAAATATGATGGAAATGTATGGCAATGGATGTTACAAATTTGAAGATTATAAATGAGATAATTGGTGTTATGGATCGAATCTCAAACTTGCCTCCTTCTATCATTCATCACATCATACCCTAATTGTCTCCAGAAGAGGTAGCTCAAACTAGTGTCTTGTCGAAGAGATGGAATCTGAAATACCCCCGCATTTCTTTTGTTAAGTTTAATAATTGATTTTTCTATATGGGGGTAAATTGAAAGAAATTAAAACTTGCCAGGGTATTGTGGTAAGGAAATAAGAACTGGTATGATCAATAAGTTTAATAATTGATTTTTAGAGACTTTTATTATAAATATTCAGTTTGCAAATATTCTTGATTATGTTTTTATAATTGGACTCTTATGAAATGTTTTCAAACTATTTACCCTCCTTTCGGAATCTTGAGTCTCATTGGGAGCGCCTAGATCCTATGGGATAGGGATACGCGGGAGGGGGCATGACAGGTTTGTATCGATTCTGAGTGCAATTACATGAGCATGCATAACACGATTTGAATCTCAACAAGTTAATTCGATTTTTATAGATATTATGATGCGTCGACGCGGCCGACCACGCACACAAACCGTGAGGGAATTAGCTACTCCTCTGGGTCAAGGGGAGGATCAGGATGAGAGGATGCAGGGGGAGGCTTCTGCGACCCTCGCAACAGGACCCCATATGGAAGGGTTAGAGGGGGAACAAAAGATGGAGCAGGAGATCCATTCTCCTGATAGTGAGTCTGGTATAGAACGAGCTATTGGAAAACTGGCCCGATTGTTTACTCAAGTCACTAGTAGTTGGGCGCAGGAGAGTTCAAGGAAACAGAATACCATAGAAAGGGCCATAAAACTAGGGGCAGAAAAGTTCAGTGGGGAAGGTGATCCCACAGTAGCGGAAAAATGGCTAAGGGACACCGAGAAAGTATTCAGAGTAACGGATTGTACTGATGAGGAGAAACTGAAATTTGTAGAGTTTCTGTTGACAGAGGGAGCAGACTATTGGTGGCAGTTTACGCAGAGAAAGTACAACTGTTCCACTCCTCCCACCTGGACTGATTTTAAACAAGAGTTCTTGGATCGCTACCAGCCCAGCTTGTATCGGGAAAACAAAAAAAGAGAGTTTTTGATGTTGACCCAGGGAGACATGACTGTGGAGGAGTACAGGAACAATTTTGTGGAGCTTTCTAGGTTTGCTCTGGACATTGCTGGGAATGAAAAAGAAAGGTGTAGGAAGTTTGAGAATGGCCTTAGAGAGAGAATCAGAACAATAGTGGTTGCGCACTTACATTCAGATTTTGTTAAATTGGTTGAATCAGCCATGAGGATAGAGCGGAGTCTAGTGGGGAGAGAAAAAGATGAATCACGTAGACAGAAACGTGGTAACAGAGACTGGGGGATTGCTGGCTCAAGGAGCTGTATGCAGAGGCGTGAGGGTAGTTTCTCTGGTACATCCAGCAGCCAGGGCTTTGGGACTCGTGGAAGACAAGGGCAATCCAGTGACCAACAGTCAGACAATAAAATTTCTAATGGAAACCAGCAGCTTTTGTGTGATAAATGTAGCAGATATCATGTAGGGCAGTGTTGGGGCATAGCCCCAGTTTGTTATCACTGTGGACAGCCTGGGCATTTCAAGAGGGAGTGCCCTAATTTGTCATAGAGTGGGAGTGTATTTCAGAGGACTGTTCAGCAAGGCTTCCAGGGAGAGATTAGCCGTGCTTAGGGACAGCAGAGGTCCCAATCCAGGGGAGGGCCCACAGCGGGCAACTGAGGAGAGACTGATAGTGGTCATGGTAACAGGGTAGACAGAGAGGATCAGAGCAGCCATATACTCAGGCTTGACTATTTGGCATGACACAGCAGGAGGCCAGGGCTACACTAGAGGTGGTAACTGGTACGTTATTTATTTTTAGGCGTGAGAGCTTAGACCCGTATTTTGATTGATCTTGGTTCTACCCATTCATACATATTGTATACCTTCGCGGTGTATATTGATCGGGTTTTAAAACCCTTGGAGTATAAATTATGAAATGTTTTCAAACTATTCACCCTCTTGGAATCTTGAGACCCATCGGGAGCGTTTGGATCCTATGGGATAGGGATACCTGGGCGGGGGCGTGACAAAATCGCTTTCCAAACTCATTCTCGATCCTGTAATTTTTACCGTTCCTTAATTGGAATGGGTGTGAATCATCACCGCAGGTTTCGCAAGAATTTTCAAGCAATGTCCTGGAAGCTTATGTTGGAAATGTCCCGTAAGTGTATGCCTCATCACCGTATGTTGGAGATGTCTCGTAAGCGAATGTTGGAATTCATGTCCTTTGTTGACACTTCCCTGCTGCAAGCTTGACTTTTGTATGCAAAAATTTGGGCTGTTGACAACTCTTCTTGATGTTAAAGAATTGTCTTCTTGTGTTGATGAAAGGACTGGGTTTAAGTATTTGACAAAGAAAAAATATTTTCTGCCAAGTTGATGACTACTTAAAGCTATTTGGTTGTAAGTTGGAGCAGCCATCTGATACTATAAGGTTCTATTCTCTTAAAAAGCTAAATCTTGAAAAAAAAGTTCATATAAGGGAAGGTTATGGAAGTTGAACACTTGCTCTTCTCCTATTGTTTGGGTTTAAAGCACCTTTATGTCTCTAAAGCTCTCAAAGTCAAAGATCATGGAAATTCATGTTTCTAATATCAAAAGTTTAAAAATTGCTGCCCCAAGTCTTAAAAGAGTTAAACCTTTGGTGTACTCGGCATGAAAGGCCGAAAATAAATATAATCGGGTGCCCATAATTAGAAAAATTAGAATCTGGCGATCTCAAACTTAAAGATCAAGAGTTTCACCACTTTATCATCTCCCATTTACCGCTTCGCCTGATCATCAGATTACAGTTCCCACTTCTACAATAAATGCTCAATGTCCGTGGACAGTTCACTTTGAATTAAGAGGTGATCTTGATACTCGTTGTCTCATTAATCTGAAGGAATTTTTTGGGGTGCCCAATCAAATTGAACGTCTTCCACTACTTTTGATGACAAATCAGGTATGTCTATATGCTATGTATAATTGATTAAAAGTATTTCATCTTTTTTAATCACACTGTTTATCAAACTTAACCCTTTTTTTTTTGGGTGTTGAATTAAGATTTCATTTAATTTAGACGAATTGAGAGAAAGTTCCCCTTCACTCCTTTGTTATGTGGGGAAGTTGACACTGTCTATTGATATCCCTTCATTGGATTATGAAGCTGTCTTCAATGGCCTTCTCTGGAGTCTGGATTTGCAATCCTGATACTTTATCTGTGTTAATTACGGATGATAGCAGTATGAAATTCTGCCAGGTAAGTCCATTTATCATTATTGCTCTCAAGTTAACATGATTTTTTTTTTTTTTTTTAATCTTTCTGTAATTTGTGATCTTATTTCTTGTATGACAGTGGCTTTATAAAGAACTGAGGAATAGATACGTCGACTGTTGCGATTCTTGTCGCATTAAAGTGTTGGTGGCATCTCCTCACAGATTATAAGATGAGTTTTGTAGAATATTCAACTCTGAAGTTGGTTGTCATTAACTTCATGGATGGGTTTGCCTATTGTCATGGGTTGGGCCTCAACCCAAAAGACATAGTTGCCAACCCTATAAGCTTCTCAAGAAGCCCCTCCCCTTCCTGCCCGATATGGGATTTTTAGAGCTTTTAATGTGGGATCCGTAATATTCTCTTTCACCCAATCCTGTGATGTCATAAGTGGGACCCTCTACCTACCCGTCCATGTGGATGCCCTTTTGTGTGGGCTCTTGGCGGGATATCAAAAGACGGATCGAGTCTATTCTGATATCACTATCACGAGCTCATTAAGTGGAGAGACTCTCCTTATAAGCTTAAGACTTTTCTAATGCACTTCCGATATGAGATGTGACACTATACTTACTCCGGAATTTCTGTAGTTTCATACTCTGTTTTAAAAATCGGATCAGACCGAGACTCGATAGCTTCTTCGGTCCAGTTCAAGTCTTAGGGGTGTTTTATAATATTTCAAAATTATGAGGGTTAATTTGTAATTTTATAGGGGTGTTTTGGAGATATGTTAAAATTTTAAGGATTAATTGGTAAATTTTTTGGGGCATTTTCGAAATAAATAAAAATTTTAGGGACTAATTTGAACTTTTTTGGGGAATTTTTTTAATATATTAAAATTTGAGAGATAATATTTAATTTTTAAAAAATAAAATTATTGCTGACGTCCTCGGTCCTATCTATCGGTCCATGACCCGAACAACAAAATGAGTTACCCTCGGGTCCGGGGTTTAAAAAAATGGTTTCTTATTTAATTGGATGGGAGGTATTGGATGAATTCCAAGTACTTCGAATTTATCATCATGTAATGTTGGAGATATCACTTAAAAAGCATAAAGATGTGGTCATGCTGCTCGATTTTTAGAAAAAATTTGGAAATCAATCATGTATGGTGGAATTATCAAACATTTGATCTTTTCAAACTATGTTTGGGACCCATTTGGAAAGCAAAAGACAAGATCGAGATATCTAACAAGAAGGAAAAAAATTGAAATGAGAAACTTCCGAACATTTGGCGACCTCGTATGTGGATCAGTGGATGGATGAGTTTAGACGCTTAGCCTATCCTCCATAAAGAAATTCTGCAGTTTCATATTGATTAATGTTCTTGCCGTCTTGACCTTTTTGTTAATCTTTCAAAGACAAATACAAAGACAATCTCTACCTTTAATTTTTATGATTTCCCTCTCTTTTTTCTGTTTTTTCTTTGTTTTTTCCTTTACTTTGTAGCCTTCTTTGTATAAGTCTTTGTAAGGATATCATTTTTCTTTTATTTTTAACCTATATTTGTTAAAAACTTATTTGTTCCATGGTCAGATTTGATTTCTATAAACCATTATTTTTTTTTTTTAAAAAAAAAACTATGTTTATTGTTGAATGATAAAAACCCTTTAGTCACTGAGGTTAGTTATATCCAATGAGTTTTATGTTCGAGTCATATGAGAGAGTCTTGTATTCAAATCGTAGGAGAGGTATTTACTATATTTATGCAATTATCTTGATTTATTGGGTTTGTAAGATGTTCACTACATTTGTGTAATTATTTTAGTCTATTGAGTTTGTGGGGTGTTCCGTGACCTTGAGGATTAAGTAGATTGCAATGTAGGTCTAGATAGCTGAAATATATAAAAAAAAAAAAAACTTACCTAATTTTGTTGTTTTAAAGAAAAATGGTCCTAAATTACTAATTTATCCTTTTTATACTTTAATTATGAATTTTAATAATATAAAAAATAATTACAAGTAGGAAAATAGTTTGAACAAAACAAATTACATTGTATTATGGTTAAACATTAACCACAAAAATAGAGAATAGAAGTAACCAATTTTCTTTAATAAAAAAATAATTTTTAAATAAGGGAATGGTTAACCTGCGCTGGGAGGACCGACCAAACTTTCAAACATAAGCCACAAACGACACGTCGGTGACTCACCCGGCAAAGAAAGTCACCTGGCTACCTGTCTTCGATTCTCGAAACGGTCTGTTCTCGTCTTCACCATTCACTTCTTCTCTCTACATTCACCTTTCTTAATCCCCCCTCTTTCTCTTTAAGCAAACAAACTAAGACCTAATTTCAAGTTTCAATCAATTATAGCAAGTAAAGCTATTCAATCACCTGATCAATCGAATTAATTCACTGTTTGTGGATCGATCTAGAAACCCCGCTGTTATTTTGTCAGAATTCTGGTGTATTGACTTTGATTGCATGAAAAGAAATCGAATTGGCGGGTAAAGAAGAGGGTTTTTGTTGGTTTGATTGGGATTTCATTGATTTTGAGTTCAAGATTTGATTAATCTTTTTGGGTTTTGAAATTGAGGCTTTTTTTGAGCTTGATTGGTTTTTGGTCAAGTGGGTTTGTGAAATTAGGTTTTTTTGGTTGGGGGTGAATTGAGAGAATGGATTCGAGTCGAAGAGCTGTGGAGTCGTATTGGAGATCGAGGATGATCGATGGTGCCACGTCTGATGAAGACAAGGTGACGCCTGTGTATAAATTGGAAGAGATTTGTGAGCTTTTGAGATCAGCTCATGTGAGTATTGTTAAGGAGGTCTCTGGGTTTATCTTGAAGAGGCTTGAGCATAAGAGCCCCGTTGTTAAACAGAAGGTAATTGCTTTATGTTGTATTTTGTACCTTTTTGTTGCTGATTGTTGTGAGTTCATTAAGATTGTTCAAGTTGATGTGTTGGAAGTGATGGTACTCGATATGCATGCATTATTCATGTTGTATGTTGCATGTGTTTTATTGTTTATTGTTGTGAATTCATTAAGATTGTTCAAGTTGAAGAGTTGGAAGTAATATTAATCAACATGCTTGCATTTTTTTTTTTTTTTTCTGATGGTTAACTCAGTTGTCAAAATTTTGGTAATGATTCCGTTCCATTTGTTAAATGTGGCGAATCTTGTGGATTCAATTTAGAATTTATTCTCTGCTTGGCTGCCTAGGAATGGAATGGTGTGAAAATTGATTTTTAGAAGCAATTTATGATGTTTGTTTTTTTTCTGTCAGTGAAAATCTGAATCCCTGTGGACAACCTTGTAGAGCCTGAAGGGTAGTAATTAAGTTTAATTATGGCACAGTTCTCATTCATTAAATTGAACTTACTATTATTTTTGGATATTGTGATATTGTGAATTTTTTAGCATTTTTTTTATTACTCGTGCTATCTTTATGAGCCCTTTTGGAATGATGAACTTGTGGATTTGAATATCATGTTTATATCTCATTATTTGCTCGTATTGCAGATTTATGTTTATTTATATTGCTGAGATATTGCAGTAGACACCAATGATTCTCTAATAATTTTGCAGGCGCTGAGATTGATTAAATATGCAGTGGGAAAGTCTGGTGTGGAGTTCAGGAGGGAAATGCAAAGACATTCAGCGGCAGTTCGTCAGTTGTTTCATTACAAGGGGCAGTTGGATCCATTGAAGGGGGATGCCCTGAATAAGGCTGTGCGGGATACTGCTCATGAAACTATATCTGCTATATTCTCTGAAGAAAACAAGCCTGCCCCTGCGCCTGCTGAGGATCTTAACAAACGAATTCAAGGATTTGGGAATACCAACTTTGACATGCCATCAGAAGATAAGAAATCATTTCTTAGTGAGGTAGTAGGTATTGGAAGTGCATCTATCAAGCAGGGGATAACTAATTTCACTCAAGGCCATTCACTGAAAAAGAATGATAATGGAAGTTATAGAAGTCCTAATCTTCGAAGGTCATTGACAATAGAGAATGAATATCAAGACAAATATGATCCAGTTGAATTGCACAATGAAAGTCAAGCTGGTTTTGGAATTTCAAAAAACGTGAGTGGACCTTGGAACCAGGAATCAAGAGTAATGAAGGAGGATAGGTTGAATGGGGACTCCAGTTCAAGTTATACTGAGAGCAAAACTCGTGAAGAGAAGATGTTGGAGACCATTGTGACATCTGGTGGTGTACGCCTCCAACCAACTCGAGATGCCATTCAGGTTTTCCTTGTGGAGGCTGCAAAGTTGGATGCATTGGCTTTGAGTCGGGCCCTTGAATTGAAGCTTCAGTCTCCATTGTGGCAGGCATGTTCTTTTAATTGATTTGTTGGTTATAATATAAACTACTGGTCGCCTCTTCCGACTCAAGTAAAATATATAAGCACAGGCGCAGACTCACAATTCAATTTAATCTCTCTGTGATATTTTGTCCAATTGTTTATTGTTGTCATTCTCTCTGGATTTTTATCAAGATCCAGTTTGGAAATTCTTTAATCTTTCTGAATATTTCTCTTTTTTCAGGTCCGAATGAAAGCTGTTTGTGTGCTTGAGTCAATTTTGAGGAGAAAGGATGATGAAAAATTTCTAATTATAGCTTCATACTTCAGTGAGAATAAAGATGCTGTGATTGGATGTTCAGAATCACCTCAAACTTCTCTTAGGGAAAAGGCTAATAAGGTAAATCTGGTTTCTCTTAGAAATGATTATGAGGTTCTTCAATTAGTCTCTTAGAGGAAAGAGGGCAGAGGGGTCCAAGTAGAGTGGCTGATAAAAGATATTTAGTGTTTTATATGAAGGCCCAAACTCAATTATCAAGTTTCTATGATGAGCACCATTATACAACTTCTTTTAGAACATTTTATTTTTAGTTGTTCTGATTTTTGATAGGCACTGTATAATACTAATACATCTATCTTTCAATTTAATTTGGAATAAGGAAAATAAAAGAAGAAAGGAAAGGGTGTCATCTAGATAAAGCAACTTTTTAGTCACCATTACATGGACCAGATGAGTATTGGTGTCTTAGATAAATCCTCATCTACATTCTGTCACACTTTAGGATGTTTTATAATGATTTCCTTGATAATCTAGGTTCTTTAATGTATGCAACGTGGTGTTAACAGTAATTATATATTCAAGTCTCTCAAGACCAGCAGTTTTTTATTATGCTGCAACACATGTTAAGTTGTCTAATTATACTGGGATGAGGAGAATTCTGGTTATTTTTTTTATGCTACCCCAATAGTGTATTCATTATGTAGAATTTTCTGTAACTTCATGGTGTGTGTGACATAGTTAACATTAATATTGGCCTTTGCTGAACAGGTGTTGAGCCTTCTTGGTGGAGAGCCAGCAGGAGGTTTGGTGGGTGGTTCAGATAGGTCAGTGAAGGCTGAGACCCCTGCTGCTGTTCAGATGCCTGACTTAATAGATACAGGTTATTCAGATGATTACAATGGAACAGATAATTCTACAAAGAATCCCAGTGATCAAGGCATTGCAAATCTGACATCTCCAGCCCCTCTAATTGATGATCTCTTTGGAGACAGTTCAGGTGCTGGTGCGAGCACCAGTGAACAAAATAATGATGATGACCCGTTTGCAGATGTCTCGTTTCACACCAATGAGGGTCGAGAGAATGCAGAGGATCTCTTTTCTGGGATGACTGTTGATGATAAGCCAGGTGTTAATGAAAATCTTGGCATAGCCGATAAAAATGGGCCTGAACTATTTGATATCTTTGGCTCAAACTCTGAAGTTCTGTCAAAGCAAGAAAATCAGAAAAATGATGTTAATGACTTAATGGCTGGCTTGTCCATTGAGGAAAACCTGTCGAATTCGGATCAGAAAGGAGCTTCATCTGTGGCACCATCTGAACATATCTTTTCAGATCCGAGCAGCAAATCTAGCAATCAGACCTCTGGCAATTCATTTAGCAACCTACTTGGTACCCAAACAGCTGGGATGAGTGCAAATCCAGCGCTTCCCTTTGGTGCTATGCCATATAACATTCCTCCTGCCATGATGTTCAATCCAGCTATTGCTTCTCATCCAATAAATTATGGTGCCATGGGGAGTTTATTTGCTCAGCAACAGTTCCTTGCTACAATGTCCAACTTTCAACAGCTTGGTAACCTGAACGCTCAAAATGCTGGTGGCAGTAATGTGATGGGAACTAATGGAGGCTATCCTTCACCGCTTCCTGATATATTCCAACCGAATTTTGCAGCTCCAACTCCTAGTCCAATGAACAGTTCGAAGAAAGAGGAAACCAGAGCATTCGATTTTATCTCTGTAAGTTTATTCTGGCAGTTGATTTTTTATTTTTTAGTTTTCATATTAATCTTCTTTATTGATGTTAAGTTTACATTTGTATAGTTTGAGAGTTATTACTTATATAACTCTTAAAGTTATAGTAATATAATGGTGCTTTAGTACATTTTTGAAATTGGAAATGAATTTATATAAACATCTTGGTGGCCCAGAGTTTTAATGATTTTATATAAACATCTTATAGGCACAGAGTTGTAAAGCAAAATTTGGACATCTTTTATCTGTCATTACCTAATATTATTTGTCAGGTTTATTTTGTAAATTTGAAATGTGTTGCAAGTTTACAACAATCACTCTGTATTTGAAATTTACTGTTTTCTCATTGCATATTTTCTTTTTGATGCATTTTCTGGAGAAAATGAATCTTGCTTAATTGACCTCTTTAAGTTGTTTTCGGAAGTGAGATGATAATCCATGATAATGTTGTGAATCGTGTCCATCATGTAGGACCATCTTGCTTCAGCTCGTGATCCAAAGAGAGTTTCTTAAATTTTGGGCGAAATTGTTACTGAAGAGGCTTATTTATACGAGGCAAGTAGATCAAAAGCAAGTTGTTTATCATACACCAAAGATGGTTCTACATTTTTTTGCAATAATGGAGGGAGGTATGGCTGAAAGAGCACGGAGTAGAATTAGCTTATTTTATTGTTTGTATTTGAGTTGGAAGAAGAATGAGACATTTCTGGTTGCAGTTAGCTAGTTTTATAGTTTGTTTTTGATTTTGTGCACTGATTCATGCCATTCATTGTAATGAATCTGTAGAGTGTTTTCTCCCCCTCCTTTTCCTTTTTTTTATTTTTTATTTTTTGTTTTTTTTTTTTTCCATTTTTGGTTTGTTTTCCACATAAACAGAAGTAATGCTAACTGTGATAAATGAATCTGGGGGACAGAATAGTCAATAAAAATCAATATACTGTTGTTACGTTGTCTTAACATTTGTAAAACTGACTAATAAGCATTGTCATTCATCTCACAACCACAAAGCTTTGGAATGTTTACAGTCTTGGTTGGTTCGCCATTTTCATAGAAATTCTAAAGCTCAAAGTGGGTGGCATTTGTTGAACTTATTTTTCTGTAATGGGTTTGATTGGCTTTGACTCTAGAGCCCCTTTGCTTGGTTTGGCAGCATGAGCGTCCTATTCTTACTTAGTGGTGGGATTACACCTATATACAAATTCAAAATGACTTTGAAAGGGTCTTTTAAACAAGTACGGTAAAAGGGAATCATAGAACTACTTTGAAGGATAGCAGTCCAATAATCACTTTTGGTTTGTTGCAGCGTAATGCCATCCCTCGCGGGCACTATAGATATAACCTTTGGGTAGATTGTTAGCAGATTTATTTAAGAGACTGCAACACCTACAACCTCTTCTCAAATTTTTTTTACAATTTGAGTGACAGTCATAATTAGTTATTGTAATAGGTCATACTGATATATTGTGGCTATTAATTGTGAATTACCATATTAGGGTTGTGAAAGAATTTCAGAAGAGGTTGTGGTGTATATTACTCTTTATTTAATAGTGTCAGCGATGTTACTGGAGGTGTGTTGACAACATTTAACCTCCGTCAATCAGTATTATATCGTCTCTTCTAAAATAAAAAACAATTTACAGATTAAGCACAAAAAACATCTTATAACTTTTATTTATTTTAAACCAGAGTCGAGTAAAAGAGAAAAACTTTATCAACCACCTTGGTGGCGAGTGGTTCAATAGAGATTTTTGAAGTATTTCTCAAAAGATCTGAGTTTGAATCCTTTATCGGTTGCTAAAAAGGGTGGCCATTAGCGTTTTTTACCTGACCACTTATAAGGATAGAGATGAGTTATAGCATCATAACATCATCTGACTCATCTTTACAAAGCAATTTACGTAACACCATCTGACTCATCTTTACAAAGCAATTTAAGGTATGGAAACTTAGGGAGCAAGGCAAATCTGCAGATTGATACTCATCAAATCAAAGGATGTCATGTTTTAGCATAGCTGCATCATCAACGCAGGAATCTTTGGATGTCTTTGGCGTAAGTGTGTGAGAACAATCCGATAAGCACCTGACCCGACTTCAATGGCTTCCTTGTGGTGCTGTGTTTTTTAGCTACAGATCCTCCACCTGGCCATCCTCATAGGTTGCCTGCAACATGAAACACACCACAATCACCAGAAAGAACCTCACTCAGAAGCGAATAGTCATAGCTAGGACCCTGAATCTATATCGAGTTTAAAAGTTCATCGATTGTATAACACGATGTTGAAACATTTCAATGTAGCAAATATTGCATCACAATTGAAAGCTTGAAATTGGATTTATAACTTGCTCGTGTATAAGGACTGTCGCTCCACAGGATGCTTCTGCTAGCGCCGGACAGGGCCTGGTATCCCTGAATATACATCTTCCACCCGGTATCACTTTTCCGGCACCATTGATTCTTTCTGATGCCTTCAAAACAATACCAAATGCCTCTTGAAGTGCACAACAGGAATACTAATCAAGGTCTCCAACCCTCGCTTCGTGGAGCACTTTCTTTAGGCTCTAGCAATGGAAAAAGCGGAGAGTTATCAGACAGATTCAACTCAGAATGGAGCGCATTTTTATGGTTCCAATCCTCATTATTATAGTACTTCCCTGAGCCAAAGGATCCTTATGCAATCTCAATATTGTGTTAAATCAATCCATGAGATTCTGTAGTGTATCTACAGTTAATGAACTGCATATCTAATCTTCAAGTCTTTGATATGCATCCAGAAAATCCTTAGTTGTGCTGGGCCTACAACGAGCAATGGTTCATGAGACACCCTTCAACAAGTCATGTCGTAGAGCAAGTATTCTTGCCAACCAGCCTGGTGATCAGCATGAATATGAGAAATCCAAATGCACTTAGATTCCTACAGCACTGTCAGCACCTCTATAAGTATCTGACTCAGGCAGACAAGCCACAACAATAAGCTTTTGTCACTTCAAGAATAAAATAATAGGAAAAGAGGAAAACCTTGTAGCAGATGTAAACATGTAGTAAAAGTTTCGAAGTTGTATACTTCTCCAGTTGTCCAGGGTTCCTTCTCCACAATCTAAGAGCAAGCTTCCTTGGAAAAAGATTATATAGATAGAACTAACATTCCGGTATTCATAGGACGGCTGAACAGTCCCCAAAGAACAATCTCTAGGTATCTTTCCTTACATTCTCCAAACAACTAGGAAGTCTATTCTCTTTGATATTCTGCTGGAGGCTCTTGCCAGATCTGGCTGACATGTTGCGCAGCATCTCAATCTCTGGAATTTCCGAATGTAATTCGTCCATTAATTTGAGAGAGCCACCAGACTTGGGATCTCTGTTCTATCAAGTCCAAGATGAGCATGAGGAGTAGAGTGAACTGATAAGTATGACACACTGTTCAGGTTTCCTCTAATAAAAAAAAGCACTAAATCAAGTATGAAAGCATAGTGTAGAGGATTAAAACTGAGTCACTGATTCTCATCTAAATAAATAAAAATATTTCATACCTTCAGTAGATTTTTAGCAGAAACACTTTCGGAAAGCCTTGCAACAGGACCCTAATATTGTATAAAATAAATATAAGGAAAAAAAAAAAAAAAAGCAAAACCACTCAGTTACACCAATATTTAACTGTAACTAGCAACTCTAACTATCGAAAAAAACTGTCTAATGACGTAGAGAAAACCTCGCTAGCACTATAATCTGTGGGAAATTATTAAGATGTGAAGAGAGCAGAACTTGCAGCTGGAAATTGTGGACAAGATAATTAGTCGTATGATAATCTTGCATTGGATTTTAGAATTGGAACCTCTGCATTCTTCCTACAAACAGCATGAATAGTCAGAGGAATAATCAATCAGAAAAGGGCAGGCACCAGTATCGCTTTTATAGAAGAAACAATGTCAAGAAAAAGGACTCACATTCATGTCCAGCCATAATATGTTGGGCTGAACCAAACTCTTCATGCATATCTGGTAATTAAGGGTGCCTGTGACGAAGTAGGACTTAAATGAATGATACAATTCACAGTCTTGGCACATTTGATGAGCAATCTGCATAGTAACTACTGAGAGATTCTACAGACAACAACTCCAATACGTGGGCTTCTGTTGGGCAGTCGACAGTAGCACAATGGGACCAGGAACAGACGGGCCCATTACATCACTTGGATGAACCTAAAACAAATAAGAAACAATGGTTTAAAACATAAATCAAGTGGCAATTTCAGATACACCAAAAGTTTAGAGCAACATACTATTTTCCCTTCATTATTTAACTTTGAAATCAACCATGGTGCCACAATCTGACTGCACTGACTTCCACAGTTTCAGATCATCGATTTTGGCCCAAACTCAAGCTAGAGCCCTAGCTTTGTCAGGATCAAATTTCCCATGAGTTCAGGCAATTCACAAACATATAACAGACAAACTCCAGGCTTTACTGCTGATCCTCCAGAGAAATTTGGTTTTAGGAGATGGCTGATATTTTAACAACCTCTATTGACAAGAACAAGGGGGTCGGTTAACTTTGTTAAATCAGTTAGAGCAGCATCAGAGGATGGAGATGTCCCAAGCTCCGTGGGAACCATAGCATCAGTCGAATGAAAGACTTCATTGCATCAACTAAAATACTTGAGGTCTGAAGGACCCCATACATTTACCTTAGCAAACAAATGAAAATTTTAGATGATGTGAGTTACACAAGAAATCAAAATCTTAGTAAAATTGACTATTTGAATATTGACCTTTAAACAAATAAAATACATGAGGTCAAGTTGTTACTCACCGACAGCCCTCCAAAACGGCCAAGTGAAAAGAAGACCGTGAGGTAAATAAGAATTCAGCAACCTCTCTTTGTATGAGCAGTCCTAATATTTGTTCATGATACTAATGCTTAAAAACATTACTCAGCAATAGTAAAAAAAAGTGTTATTGCAGAAAAAAGAAAAAAAATTTGAATACATCATGGTTTCTCTATCAAGACACTAACCTGGAAGTCCCCCTGCTGTCTCGGAGCAGAAACGAGAAAGAAATATGTGATCTACCTGAAGAAAGATCCACAATATTATCAGTCACTATTGCATTAAACAATATTCAAAAACTGAAGAAACAAACTTTGGAAATATGTATTGACATAGGAAGAAAGGGAAAGAAAATGAATGTTCGGATATTCCTACGTTTGGTATATAATCTTAGCTCTGTACAGAATCGTGCAATCCCTGCAATAGAAGTAGTGCATTAAGGAACAGAAAATTGATAGGTGTTCATATTTGAGAATCACAAAACACATGATCTTCATCTATCTCCCTGGCAATTTTATAGACTAACAGTAGATATACCACTGTTCAAAATAAGAGAGAATGACATTTTCCCACCCAAAGTTTACCATGACTTTGCCCACCGGACAAACTTTGAAAAAACCATTTTTCCACCATCGTTAAATTTAGACAGTTTTAAACAGAAAAATAGACATTCTTGCGGATCATATCTAGTATAGGGTTAATATTGCTTACGTTCCTAAATTACAAACAAAAATATTATCTTCACTAACTTGAAAACTAAGCACTTAAACCCCTATCTTCAATTTCTTAATTACAATGGAGGTTTCACTTTTTAACTATGTGTGTTCTAAAAAAATTTTAAGTATAATATATTATTTTTAAAAATTATAATATATCTTTCAATTAAA